GGATAATGTGTGTTTAGAAGTAGAATGTCACTTGTTAGCTCCGATTTTAGTAGTGGTATTTGCCGGGGGAAAGAACTCCATGGCTTGTTAATTGGACAAGTGGTTATGAGTTTCTGTAGGTCCCTTTCATCGTTAGCAGAGTTGTGAAGGTTTGGAAAGAGGTTCTATTTGATATGAGGTATATTACCGGTATCGGGTTTGGTAATAGGCAACTATTATGGTCAGAGAGATATTGCTAAGAGCATTTGAGCGATGGGGTATGTCATGTGGTTACATCTTGGGAGGATATATATAGTTTGATATAGATGGTTAAGATTGATACAGTGGATATATGCAAGAATCAGAGCTAGGAAGAAGTTCTGGATATTGGAATTTTGTTTTAAGGACTGTAAGCTAAAGTGGAAGGAAGAATCTTCAGTCAGATTCTGTTAATGGACTTATATGGAGTGAGGTGATGTGAGATCACCCATGGGTACATGTATGATGATCTATACAGTCTGGGCAACATTAGAACGACTCTCGGCACATTCGAGGATGAACTAATATTTAAGTGGGGGAGAATGTAACGACCCGACCAATCGTTTTGAACATTAGTATTTTGTTCAGCAGTTTAAGACCTTGAGTAGCTTCATATGATGTATTATAACTTGCGTATATGGTTGGTTTTGATGTTCGCAGGGTTCGAGATTAATTTGATAGGATGATTCTCAATTTGGAAGTTTTAAGTTAGAAGAGTTTACCAAGGTCTAAATTTTGAGTAAAAGACCTCGAAATCGGGATTTGATGGTTGCAATAGGTTTATGATATTTTTGACTTGTGTGTATGTTTGTATTTGTATTTGGATGTTCCTAGAAGGCATTTGCTCTTTTTGTCGAAAGTTTGCAATTTGAAGAATTGAAAAGTTCATAAGTTTGACAGGGAGTTAACTTTGGTATTATCGTACTCGGATTGTGGTTTTGAGACCTTTTATAGGCTCTTTTTGTTGATTAGAACTTGTGTGCAATGTTTGGTTGTGATCCGGAATGTCTAAGTATAATCCGGACGAGTTCGGCAAAGTTAGAATGTTTGAAAGTTAAGAGAATAATTTTGATCTTCGATTCGCGGTTTTGATGTAAATTCTGGTGTTTTTAGCCTTTGGGTAAGTTTAGATATTTTATTTTTACTTGTTGGTATGCTTGGATGGGGTCCCGAGGTGCTCGAGTGTGGTTCGAGATAATTTCGGACTATTTTGGTTGAGTTTGCATTGCTGGTTTTTCTAGTGCATTCGATGAGCATCATGATCGTGGAAGAAGCTTCGTGATTGCGTAATGTGTTTTGGACGCCAGTGATTTGTTCATTGCGTTAGTGATAAAGTGCTCGCATTCGCGAAGAGGAGATGTTGGCAGGCATGAATTTGTGAAGTGCATTCGTGAGTAAAGATACGCGTTCGTGTTGAGGAAGCGTTAGGTGAGAGTTGGTATACGCGTTCGCGATGGGTAGAGCACGTTCGCGAATGAGAGATTGGAGTTGGGGATGGGCAATATTTCATGGAGATTTTCACACAAGGAAAGAGGGTAAGTGATCTTTACCTATTTATGATTATATTTTAAGGATCTACATGGATTTCTACATATTAAACATGGAATTTTGAAAGGAAATTTGAGAGTTTTTGTCTACACTTTAAGAGAGTGTATTTTGGGATTTTGACCATCGATTTGGATCCGGATTTGAAAACTAATTATTTATTTAGACTCGGCAAGTTATGGGTCATTGAATTTTTGTATTGATTTCGGATGTCGGGCACACGGGCTTGGGTTGACTTTTGTTGATGTTTTGGAAATTTTTCAAAGGTCAAAACTTTATGGATTTGGATCGCTTATTTGACTTCCTTGGATGATGTTTGGCTTGGATTTGCATGATTGGACAGTTAGAGAGAAGTTTTGACGTGATTAGTGGTTGAAGCTAGCCCAGAAAGTGGTAAGTCTCTTGGCTAACCTTGTTAAAAGGAAAACCCTTAGGATTTGACTTGATTGTTATGTGTTTAAGGTATCGGAGGTGATGTATATACGTGGTAGCAAGCGTATATGCACTTACCAAGTTTATATCATGCATGTGGTAGAATTAATATACTTTATGCCTTGTTGTGATTATGTGTTCATCTTGATTAATGATTTGTTTGGCTTATATGACTACGCTAGCTCTCTTATTCATGTTAGAGATCATGCCTAGGTTTATGATTATGTATGAAGGAATGGGAACTTGTTCTTGATATGTTGCACTGCCTGAATCATCTGTAATCAAATAGAAATTTTATAAGCACATATCCGCATGATTATGGTTAAGTCTTTGTGCATATTTATTCAATTAATTCATAGGCATATGCATAAATATAACATTTAGATACTTGATTTGGATTGAAATTGTGGCACGAGAGGCAAGGTGGTGCAGTTGAAATACAGTTATGGCACAAGACATGATGGGCGGATATTTGATTATGAGTGATGCTATTAAGCTCCTCTTTGCGCTTGGATTTGGTACCATCCCTCCAGAGTTAGGTGATAGCCCATGCTACTTTGGGTCATGTAAGCGTGGTCGGTACATGGATTTTATACCGGGCCGATACATAAATTTTTTATCGGGTTATTGTGATACATAGATTTTGTATCGGGATACATGGATCTTGTATCTGGGTACATAGATCTTGTAACAGTTTGAGCATGCATTCATTTTCTTGATTCATTTAGAGGCATTCATTTAAATGCTAACTATTGCTTGCCATGTAAACATGCTAGTTAGGAGCCCCGACTCTGTTGATTGAAGAATGCCAACGTTACTTGCCATACTTGAGCAGCGTTATGATTATATGTTGAATCGAAAAGGCATGCTTTAGGTCTTTCGACTGTTTTATATCTTGATACTTGTTGATCATGAGGATATTTACTATATCAGCTACATGCTTGTTATTATTGCCGTGTTGTAAGTATTCAGATGCATCTAGCATCGCCACTACTTTTTTTAGGTTAGACTTGATACTTACTGGGTATCGACTGTGGTGTACTCATACTACGATCCTGTACATTTTTTAACAGGTTCTGAGGTTGTTATTGTGGTACCCTTTTAGCTAAGTAGGAGTGTGTATTGGAGACTTCGTGGTGAGCTGACATACTTTTTCAACCCACAACACATGGAATCCCCGTCCTTACTTATCTCTTTTCTATTTTCCTTCTCACCCATAGTTGTGATCATGTATTTAGACTTGTACTTATTTGGTAGTTGCTTGTGTACTTATGTCACCTAGTTCTTGGGGGTTGTACTGTTTTGGTCGTGCATAGACCATGTTATACTTGTATCAGATACTTTACTACTTTGAGATTATTCATGCTTTTATTATGATGTAACTCTGTTAATTAAAAAAAATTGGACTTTATTATGTTGATTGTGAGTTGGTTTGCTTAGCAAGTACGACTAGGCACCATCACGACCTGAGGTGAGATTTTAGATCGTGACAAAAAGTTGCGAGGAAAAAACAAAGAAGAGGGAGGTTATTTATAGATTTTTAAAAGAATAAAGGGTTTAATTATTCATTTTTTAAGAATTGGGGGGGGGGGGGGGGGTATTTTCTAAAATTGGGAGGCCAAAAGTGCCTATTTTAGTAAAAATGACCATTGAGCAACGGTCAAGGCCAATTCTGAACATTGCCAATGGATCAAATCACTTTTTTATTTAAAATTGGACTGTTAATATCGGGCGGGAGCCAGCTAATTAATCGGTAACACATTATCGAGCACCGAAGACCCGGTGCCTAAGAATTAATCGCAATAGGCCCCCTCCCCCTGCCGTAACATAGCCCCCTTGTACCGGTCTAGTTAGGTCTGTACCGTAAATGGGTTGACCCAGCCCGTCAGACACATATACTTCAACCTAGTTATCTTAATTATTTTTCAATACTAATAGTGCATCAAGAAGTGGTGCATCTCTTATTTAGGTAGGGTTTCGATTTGCATGTTATACTAAGGCCTCATTTGTTTTTATTAAGAATAAGACGTTTGAATCTGAATACACATCTGAATATTAAGATGCGCAATAAGATTTAGACGCCTGAATCTGAATACACATCGAATATTAAGATGTTAATTAAGAACTGGATGCTGAATAATTAAGATTGTTTGTTTTCTTAGCATCTGAAGGTATAAAAATTATTTTTATTTAAAAATTAATAATATAAATTCAAAATAAAATACTAATTAATCTAATATTACATTAAAAAATATTTTTAAAAAGTATAGTGATTGATGGTGGTGATGGCTAGCGCTGCTGGTTGCGGGTGCTAATTGGGGTTGTATTGGTGGTAGTATTGGCTGATGGTATGGTTGTGGGTAGTAGTTAATGGTGATGATGGATGGTAGTAGCTGTTAACAACAGTGGTTGATGGAGGTTGTGACTAGCAACGGTAGTTAGTGATATATAATGGTAGTTGATGGTGATAATGGTTAGTAGTAATGGGTGGTTGTTATGGCAATGGTGGTTGGTGATGATGGTAGTAAATGGTGATTAGTGGTGGTGACACCTGAGTGTGGTGATTGACAGCGATGGTGGTTGTGACTAATGATGATGGTTATGAGTGCCGGTGGGGGTGGTGGTAGTCTATAATGGGTGGCGGCGGCGGCGGTAGGTGATAATGGTGGACATCAATGGCAGTGTGATGGTGTTTAGCCATGAAAGCGTATGGAGTAGTGGTGAAATGTCATTGTTGTATAAATTCTTGAAGATACAACATCTCAATGATATTAAGACTTTGTTATAAATCTTAGTCATTAAGATATATTCAGACCCATTAATTAATTGTAAAATTTTAAAAATAAATGAACTTAATGGTTAAGATCTAAAGGATTAAAATTCAGATCTAAAAAACAAGCACACATACTGACCGAGACCTCCGTTAAATTAAATGGAAACACATGAGGCCTAAGAAAACCTTGTTAAGTCGAAGAAAATGCCATGGAAAGAAGACACTACAAAAGTCGGCAGGTACAGCCGTGTGGGAAATTGAACCAATGCTTCCATCTTGACAATGACTCTGGAAATCCGTGCTATCCCATCTCTATATAAAAGTCAAGAAGCTCAGCATCCTTTGTCTTACGGGATTTGTTTTCAAACAAACATTCCTATAAGCCCGGCCTAATCACATTGACAGAGCCTAAGAATGAAGGTGATTAAGTTGGACAAATTTAACACTCGTATAGCAAAAAATGACGATTGTATTCTTTACCTTGAAAATAATCATTTATGTTGATTGCAGATCTTTAATTGGTTCCAAAGCAAGAAGAATGGAAAGCAAGGGACCAACAAACAAAAAGCAGTGAGAGTTACAAGTAAGCTTTCATGATTTCCTTTGATTTCTTCATTAGTTTTGATCCTTCGTGTGTTTCTAATAAGTGTTTTGTCCTTAAAATAGATCATATGTTGCATCAACCCATTAGAGAAGAATTCAGTGACTGGCCTATTGAACTTCTTGCTATTGGTACATTTGGAAATAACAGTTTGAATAAAGATGTTGGGAACTTGAATCATCAGCCTTATCACCTAGAAGAGCTTACACCTGAAGAAGTTGGAGAACTTCAAAAAGAACTAAAACTACTACTGTGTGATAGTACTTCCCCTGATCCGGCTAAAGGTTCAACGAAGGATCTCGAGAAATTCTTTGACTGCCTACAAAGTTTGGAAGATGATAAAGAGAATCATCTCAAGCAGAGTAACAGTATTGTATGTGGCAAAAAACAAGAAGTTCAATTGGAAAACACAAACAGTGGCATAAGTACAAAGACATTGTCTTATCTCCTTGAGAAGGCATTTGCCTGCAGAGGTCGATTCACAGTCCCTTCCCCCCCTCTTTTGAGAGATCCCATTTCTCAGTCAAAGTTTGAGAAATTAAGATTGGAGAAGGTTCACTCTATGAATTGAACTTTTAAAAAAACCTTACAAAAGATATGTTATATTCCCTCCATTTCATTTCATACGGTTGTATTTAAAAGAACTACTTTTGCAATATGCCAAAAGTATCCTTAAAACTTGTATTTCTAAACGTGCCATTATATTTATGTGGCTATAAGGGCATTTCGCTAGTGGTAAAATGAAAAGTTCAAATTTAAAAAGTTCCTAAATATTCTTTTCGTAAAAGATTAAAAAGCAAAGTGTATTAAAAAATATTAGAGGGAGCATATGGTATGACATTAATCTTGTAACTGTTCCCTTTTCTTATTTCTTACATGTTTACAAACTTTGCAATGTTGATTAATGTGCTGGATATTTATATGTTTTGGCTGGGTCAAGCATGTTTTTTCAAGGAATCGTCCTGGATCTCAAAGTTCAAGTAGACAATGATAGACATAATCAATCTTGAACTGTACTTATAGTTGCTTTAAATTTTGGTTGTGAATAGTTGATCCTTTCATCAACATATTTTTAAGGAGACCTCATCTATTTATGTATTGATCTTCTGTTCTTATGCAGATTTTGTTTTCACAAATAAACTTAGTGATTTTATTTTAAAGGTGAGAAATAATGCTATCTGCAGATTCTGAGGGCCATAATTCACAAAAAGATATTCCGGCAAGCATCCAGTCCAAGGGGTGACATGAAAAAGAAATACTTGGACAATGGAAATATACTTGAGATTGATAGTGAAGATGAAGCATTTGAGACTGTGAAGGATAGAAATAAATGGGACAACTCTGATTCTGATTGTAAGTTTAATGATGAACATAGATAACTCTCCATCTACTATTTACATTAACATGACAAGCACTTGCAAGAAGCTCTCAGGATGAATACCTAAACAAATGAAATCTTCTAGTTTTGGGGCTAATAACTTTGTGAGGATGTAAACTTTGTTCATTCTTGTTGTGCAGTTATTGTACTAGAGATATGATTGATCTATTCCATAGCCAGTTCTTGGAAAGATGAGGTAACACTAAACTTGATATATTGTATTTGTATGTCATCAGTCATTATCCATCAAAACTTCTCATCAATGTTTATTGCTTTTGCAGATTCAATTCTGTTCCTTTTGGCTGTACAAAATTCAAATTCTTATAAGATTTTGGTAGCGGTGAATATGTTGCCACTGCATGATATGGAAGAGTTGACAGGCACCATCCCACGACAAAACTAAACTTCATTCACGGTCCTGTTCTAATGGGACATGATTTTTTTCCATGGCTTCTGCTTTTTCCAGGTTGTAAGCTTAGTGTTTTCAAGATGAGAGAAAATATAGGGTGTATTTTTAAATATTTTAGCAGATCTAATAAAAGGTGGGCTTCTTTGATGCTCCGCAGAGACGGTAATCTTTACTTTTACTCTAATATAGTCACTATTTTAACATCCATATTCTATTCAATTCAAAGAGATAGATTATGTGTAAGTGTAAGATTGAAGCTTTACATAGAGAATATCTGCATCGGTAATCTGAATACAGTAAACTATAGAGAGAAAAATTGAAATTGCTTTATGTTACATGGTCTCAAGAATGATTAGTATCCGATATGAGTGTGTGATTTTTCATAGAGTTATTTTCAGATTTAGTAACACTTAGTGCATGTTGAAGAATCCGCAACCATGTCACACCAGTTTGACACAGATATTTCAAAACAAATGAAGCATCCATGTAACATAAAATCCGCAACTATATCTTAGTTTTTTATCTAATTGGATACTTTTACAACAAATCCTTTCGGCCTCGGGGCTTCTTTGATGATCTTCAGAGATTCCTTTGTAAGATGCCCTTCATAAGCCTCTACTGGGTAGTCATAAACAAGCACTTTGTCAACTAATTAATTCTTTGTAGAGCTCATGCATTGATCATTAGCCGGAGAAATTGAGCCTCCCGGCTAACAAATCACTTTTCAGAAGTTGAAATCCATCCAGTTAACTTTCTATCTCTTCTATCCTCTTTATGGCTTCCTTCATGTCAATTCTCTTATCGTGGTCGCTTTCAGTGCAAACAGCTCCTATATAAAGGAGCGTCTCCATCTTTTCAAGAGAATCTTTTGCTGTTGCTATCTGTGGATCAATCATTTCTGATACTCTCTTCTCTTCAACTGCTGACTGCGCCCATTGCACAACATCGGTTCCACACTTTTGGTTGCTGAGATACTGTGAAGGGAATTTCCCAGTAAGGATTTCAAGAATTATGATTCCAAGACAATAGACATCACTTTTTGGAGAGATTTGTTGGTTTAGTATGGCTTCAGGTGATTTATAAGCAAAAAGGGATTGGACAGCTTGTGAATTGTTGATTAGTGGGTAAAAAGCATAATCTGTGAGAAGTGGTTCATTATTTGCAGTAAGAAGAATGTTGCTAGACTTAAGGTTCCCATGAGGTACATCATATGATGCAAACTCAGAATGAAGAAATTTCATTCCATTGGCAACTCCATGGATGATTTTCAGGCGAGTAGGCCAATTTAACTGAGCATGTGCTATGCCGCGATCACCTGAAAATTCCGTCCGGCTAAGATCTCAGAAGATAAATAAACACAAAAAGAGTATATATTATAGAAGCAGCTCCGAAATGGACATGTTAAATATATAATGTGAAAATTACTTTGAGGCACTCTAAGAGTCCAATTTAACAAAATTCTGGAACTTCATAATTATTCAAACATCTACAGTTGCACTATTTCTATCTTTTTCTTTTCCGGGGGAGGGGGAATCAATGACAAGAAATAATGCAAATGTTTAGCGCTATCTAAGAACATTTTTATGAACTATGTGAATGCTGAGACTTTAAAAAGAATCATTCCAAAGGAACTTGAAAAAAATAACAGACTAATTTGATAAAGATAAATGATATCTCCATCATGAGATAATCTCTACTTATGCACATGAAAAGAAGAAAAGAAGCTAGCATCAAGATAAGTTGTACACAAAATGGGCTGTTTTCATGGACTCCTTAACAATTACAAAAAGATAGAGAGCCAAAGAAGTCCATACCATGTAACAAATACAACAGGCTGCCTTTTGGAATGTACTCAGACACCACCAGCTTCTCCTCTTTCCTGTAATGGTATGCCAATGGTTGCAATAAATTCCTGTGCCTTAACTTGGCAAGCTTTCTGATCTCTGTATCAAAGCTTTCCTTATTCAATTTGTTTATCTCCCTCAACCTCTTCACAACGAGTGACAAACCATTTCCCAGTACTGCCTTATAAGCTGATCCTAATCCTCCATTCCCGAGGACTTCAGCTGATGCCTTCATCAAATCAGGCAACCCAAATATACCTCTTTCTTCATTTACCACCACAAGATCACCCATATCGCTGCCACTTCGCGAGCGTCCTCTCCTTGATGAGCGCATGGAGTTGCGCAAGCTCATGCTTCTTTTGTTTGAGCTTGGAATATTCAGCTTCACAGATTCATCAAGGTTCTCTTTTTCAAGCTTTTCGAAGTGATCTTCCTTGCGCTTTGTCTTAAAAAATATAGCCACCAATAACAAAACAACCACTAAGCCTATAATTATCCATTTTATGCTGGAACCTTCAGATTTTTCCCCTGAGGCTGCAGCCTTGCATTCTCTCCCTAATTGTTGTCCACATAGCTCTGGATTTCCTTGAAAGGGGTCTGAACCAAATCTTGACAAAACTTGTGGGATTTCACCTTGTAATTTATTGTTTGACAGGTTGATAGATATCAGAGTCCCCTGTGACAAAGATGGAATTGTTCCTGAGAATTCATTATTCTCCAGGTGAAGTTCTAAAAGATATTTCAAACTAGCTAAAGAATCAGGAATTTTCCCTAAAAACTTGTTTCGCGAAAGCCAGACTTTCCTGAGAGATGACATTTTGGAGAAGAAATCCCCAGGGATTTCCCCTGTAAACTGATTCCCATCAATGAATAGAGACTTAAGGGCACCAAGAATAAAAAATTCAGGAATGAACCCTGAGAAAGAGTTGTTTGCAAGATTGAGCACTCTAAGGCCTTGAAGGCTAACCAATGAATCAACATCAATATCCCCTGAGAGGCCAAATCCACCAAGAATTAGACCTTGGACAACATTTTTATCACATTGAACACCAACCCATTTCTTGTTATTGTCACAAGGATTTGTTCCTTTTTTCCAAGAGGAATCAAGAGCTGAGGTATTTGTTAACAATTCTTTAAATTCAACCAGGGCCTCATCACCTCCAATGGAAAAACAAGGAGGTGGATGTGATAGAAAAAGGAGGAAAAAGATTAAGGAAAGAAGGTAGGGGAAGAGGACAGCGGCCATAATTGTGGAGAAACAATGTGCCGCTGTAAATAGAGAGAGAATTTCTCTGATTTTTTTCTTAATAGGTGTGTCATGGTGTGTGTTTGAGGGAACTAAGGTGGGTGGTGTAATATTTGACAAAGATTTGTTGTCAGAGTTGAATACTCCTAGTGGACACAGAATGCTTGTCTAAGAACAGATTCAGAATGATGGATAGAATGAGAGGTGGACCTTGCATTTACCTTGTCTATGGTGTAGAGGCATAGTCGCTAATTAGGGAAAATTTGACTATATATACACCCATATCATTATGAAGAGAATCTAATACAAATGGTGAGAAGATCAGGATGGTCTAACAATCCCCTTGCAAAGTCAAGGTGGACTTGCCATTTATTTTGTCTATGAGAAACTAAAATCTCGCCGCAGACAAAGGCATGGTAAATGGCATGGTAAATGTATCTGTCAATTGATCTTTGGCATGGTAAATGTATCTGTCAATTGATCTTTGGTAGAAAGGAATTGAATTTGAAGATTTCCTTACAACTTTGTCTCGCACAAAATGAAAAATCAATCTCCACATATTTGGTTCTCGAGTGAAAAATAGGATTAATGGAGAGATAAGCAGCTCTAATATTGTCACACCATAGAGTTGGAGCTTGTGGGACTTGAAAGCCAAGCTAAAAAAGAACTGATTGTGTCTGAGTTATTTCAGTTGCAGCATCTGCAAGAGCCTTGTGTTGCTCCCAAATGCACGTGCAAGTATACGTCGTCAACAAGTAATATATGTAGAGTGTCGAACCCACAGAGACTTGTGTTTAACTACCCACTAATTTCACTCAAATTGCTACTTAGTCGGGTTAATCAGAATTGAATGGTGTGATTATAACTATGCAGAGAATGTAACAATTAGCTAGTTAAGCAAGCAGAAAATGGTTGTTGAGAATTCAGTAGAGATAAACATTCCAGGGTTGTGATCGATTCACCAATCCTATTGTGTTCTAATTAACTCTCCCTTTCATGCAATTCGCTTATGGTTGCTAATTAATCGAGTAATTGATCTCGTACTTTTCTCCTGAATTACTATGCGCCTATTCAAAATAGATTAACGCATATATTCTTATTGAATCAATCTATCAAGAACGCATTAAGATCCCGATATTAAATTAAGCATGCTGATTAAGTATATTCATATCCTAGCCAGAAATCCCTCCCCCCCCCCCTACTTAGAGTTAAGATCATGCCCTCTTCAATTCTTCTCTAATTTAGACGTAGCTTTCCCAAGTATAGCATAGATAGTAAACATAACCCAACTGTTGGCCAGACAATCAAGTAATTAAACACAGGATTGAAGAAACAACTATATATTAGCAAATTATAATCAAGGTAAAGTCAACTTCGAACAATAATATTCATGGCTAAATCGCAGCCCCAGAACTAACGGATCTTAGCCACTCATGATAATGTTAAACAGTATCACAAGTGTTGAATTGTTGTAAATACTAAGAAAGATGAAGAAAAACTGAGAATCCTTGCTCCCGAGTGTTTCGTGCTTGTGTTTTCCTTTCAAAGTGGCGTCTCCCCCTCCAAAATAGGTTTAGACTTCTTTTTATTTGAGTTGGGGGTGTGTATGACCGAAAAAGAGCTTGTCCCGAATAAAGTGAGAAAAAATCTCGTCACCTAACGTCCAGGGCAGCGCATCGCATTGGCCCTATGTTGGGCTGTTGCCCAGAATGTTTCAAGACTGGTTTTAGCGCCTAGGCAGCGCGACACGCCGACCTGGGCGCTAGACTGGGCATTTTTTCGCTTTTTTTTTTTTGCTTCAACATGTACCCTTTCGTCCCACATTGCTTCCGGGTGACTCTTACACATAAAAATGGTCGAATGAGCATAAATCATTACATTACACATACAAAAGCCATGAAATATGAATAAAATGTGAGGCGATATGCATATAAGTATATATAGTTTAAGTCGAATATCAACGCCCTATACTAAGACTCTTGCTCGCCCTCGAGCAATGTAACTCTCAATTATACCCCAACAAACCTCAACTATGGAGGAACAACTCACTTTCAATCATACACTCTACCCTAGACTATGGTCGATACCGATAATCAAGCATAAGCGTACGAAATTTACATTCTTCCCGTTTTAACATGCCACAGTATAAACGTTTTAATTCAACAAATTCAAACAACTTACCCATAACTACCCTACCTCAAGAGCTGACTCGTTACCACTAAGAACCCTTTACTCGCGTAAT